TGGGCACTTGCAGGTTTTAAGCAGGATTGGTGTCCAAAGGCTCACTCTGACGGCTGGGTGGAGAGGGGGTGGAGGGGGCCAGAGCAGAGGCAGGGAGGCCAGTGAGGAGGCTTCAGAAATCCAGGCAAAGATGGGCTAAGAAAGACAGTGGTGGGAAGGAAGGGGAAAGGGGAAGTGGATTCAGCAGTAACTCAGGAAGTAAAATTAGCAAGGTTTTTGACTAATTGGCTGAGAGGGTAAAAGGAAGGAGGTTTCTGGCCTGGGAGCATAAGTGGACTGCCTTTAGGAGAACACAGGAAAGGCAGATTTGCACAGGAGAAAACAATGACTCCAGTGTTGGATTTAAGGAGCACCCAGGTGATGGTGAGTGGATTGCCCAAGATGTGAACTTGGGAAGGGAGGGTGGAGCAGATGGCTGTGTAGCTGCTAAACCATGACTGGTGTCCCGGGACAGCCCTGAGTATTGCACACATTGGCCACTCATTCATTGAATCCTAGAGAGATCTAAGCCCAGGTCTGTGAAGAAGGCCAAGAGAGGAGATACTATGACTCAAAGTCCAAGATTAAGTGAGTGGCCTAGAGCCTGGTCCTCTGATCCTCCCAGTGTATGTCCCCCACCACCCTTCCGGCGCCCGCCCCAATAATATCAATGAATAATAACAATTGCTGTGTGCTGGCTCTCTCCAGGAAGTAACTAAACCCTACCACCTGGGACCTTGCAGTCTAGTTGGGAAAACTACAGTTACTCATTCACTGAATCAATATTGACTGAGCGCCTGGCCTTGCCCTGAGCTGTTTCCTAGGCACTCGGGATACAGGGGTGACCAAGAAAAATGACACCCTTCTCTTGTTCAGTGGGGGAAGCAGAATATAAATAAATACAGAATTAGCTTCAAGTTATAAATGGTATAAAGAGGCTGAACAGGGTGACCAGGGGCCATGGCAGGCATAATCAGGTGGCCAGGGAAGACTCTTAGAGGAGGTGATGTTTAGACGGAGACCTGAATGACTAGAGGAATTATTGCTACTCTGGCTCTTAGTTAATAAAAGTTGAGCCAAAACCGGTTTGGCTCAGTGGATAGAGCATCGGCCTGCGGACTGAAAGGTTCCAGGTTCGATTCCAGTCAAGGGCATGTACCTGGGTTGTGGGCACATCCCCAGTAGGAGATGTGCAGGAGACAGCTGATCGATGTTTCTCTCTCATCGATGTTTCTAACTCTCTGTCCCTCTCCCTTCCTGTCTATAAAAAATCAATAAAATATATTTTTAAAAAAATAATAAGAGTTGAGCCAAGAGAGTTTAGAAGGCTGTGCTAGGCACTGGGGGAAGCAAAACGCAAAACAACAATCAAAATACCTGAGAACCAGCCTCTGCTCTGGAGGCCCTCATGGAGCCTGGGCCCTGCACGTGCAGAAAACTAGCGAGTGACTCGAGGTAGCTTGCAATAAAGGGGCATGTGTGTGACCCAAAGGACAGTGCTGGGGAGGGGCCTGCTGGCCTGGAGAGGAGTAGGGAGCATCCAGGACAAGGGGGATTTGAGCCAGATTTGGCTAGAAGGGGGGACTGGCACTTTCAGAGGGAAACTAAGGTATGCAAAGGCACAGAGGCAGGATTCTAGAGGATGGAATCTGGGGGCTGGGGAGGCCAGAGAGGAGCCTCTGATTAGAGCAGCAAGTTTCAACCTTATTTCATCTCACGGCACACGTAAACTAATTACTGAAACTCTGTGGCACACCAAAAAAAAAAAAAAAGTGTATTTCCTGTCGACTTGACACAAAAAAAATAGGTATGATCTTGATTCACTCATATTGGGTGGCTTAGTTTATTTGACAATGTAAGGGGAAAGAGGTCAGCAGCCCTAACTAAATAGCCAGGTATTGCATGTTTTTAAAATTGTTGCAGCACACTAGTTGAAAATCGCTGGGTTAGCCCAGCCGGTGTGGGTCAGTGGTTGAGCATTGACCTATGAACCAGGAGGTCATGGTTTGATTCTAGTCAGGGCACATGCCGGGAGTTTTAGTCTTGATCCCCAGGAGGGACTATGTAGGAGGCAGCCAATCAATGATTCTTGCTCATCATTGATGCTTCTATCTATCTCTCCCTCTCCCTTCCTCTCTGAGATCAATATGAAAGAAAATCGCTGGGTTGGAACATGAGAGGTTCACGTGGTGGGCGCGCACACAGGAGGGACTGAGTGTGGGGCCTTAGGGAAGGCCACTTTGTTCAGCTCCGTGGGCAGGGGCAGCCATTTGAGGGCCTTCAGGAATCCCCACTCCTCATCACCCAGACCCAACTGTCAGTGAGATTTTGCCACTCTCACCTCCTCTCTTTTCTTCTCTGAAACATTTTAAAGCAAATGTCAGGCGTCATGTCATCTCCCCCCCCTCCATGTTTCAGTGTGCATTCTAGAAACACAGATGTTTTCTTACAAATCATAATGCTACTATCATACTAACAAAATTCTTGATATTATCTCATTGGGTTCATATTCACATTCCCCTAATTATCTAAAAAATGTTATTTTGTAGTGTTGTTTTTTTTTTAAATATATTTTTTATTGATTTCAGAGAGGAAGGAAGAGGGAGAGAGAGATAGAAACATCAATGATGAGAGAGAATCACCGATTGGCTGCCTCCCGCACGTCCCCCCACTGGGGACTGAGCCCGCAACCCGGGCATGTGCCCTTGACCGGAACCGAACCTGGGACCCTTCAGTCTGCAGGCTGACGCTCTATCCACCAAGCCAACCCGGCTAGGGCTAGGGTTGTTTTTTTAAAAGATAAGTTTAGTGTCTTAACAAGGTCAGATTTTTTTCACATTTTATTTATTCATTCATTTATAATTCTCATCCGAGGGTATGTTTATTGATTTGAGAGAGAGAGAGGAAGGGAGAGAGAGAAACATCTATGTGAGAGAAACATTGATCGGTTGCCTCCCGTACCAGTGCAGACTGGGGATTGAACCTGCAATCCGAAACCTAGGTATGTGCCCTGACCAGGAATCAAACCTACAACCTTTTTGGTATATGGGACAATGCTCCAACCAACCAAGCCACCGGGCCAGGGCTCACATTTTATTTTCAGTTGTTCTGTTTCTTACATCTCTTAACTCTAGCAAGCTTGGCGTTAGCCCTTATACTGTATACAGGGACCACAGCACTCTACACTGTTCCCCACCGTGAGCCAACAGCCCCACTGTGGGAACAGAGCCCCGGGTACCTGATGCCCTGGAGTCCCCGGCCTACCCCTTGCCACCTGTGTGACCTTGTGCAAGTTACTGAACCTCTCTGTGCCTAAGCTGCTTCATTTGTAAAATGCCTGCTTTGAGGCAATGTATGGAAGGTAATTTTGTGCAGTTCATGGCACTTTTCCATATTATTATTGTTGGGGCTGGGGTGTTGTGAAGGAGGAGGGATGGACATTGCTGCCCCTAAGCTACTTCCATATGCTCCAGGCTTACAAGGAGAGAAAGAACTTAATCTCCAGTGTCACAATGATCTTTCTGTCTCTCATGTCTCCCTTTCTTTGTCTCCTTCCCTCTCTCCATCTGTTTGTACTTCTCTATCTTCTCTCCATCTCTCTAGCTCCCTCTCTACCTCTCCTCACTAGCTCTGTCTTTCTCTCTCCTATCAGTTTATCTCGCCTCTCTGTCTCTCTGTATCTGTTTTTCTGTATCTCTCTGCCTTTCATCTCTCTCGTTATCTCTCTTCTCTGCCCCTTTGCATTTCTCTGTCTCTACCCCCTTCCTGTCTTTCCCCACCCGTCATCAGTCTTTGTCCCTCTACTCTGGGTAAAGCATCTTCAGCCTATGTTTCTTTCATCTTCTCTTTGCGGCTGTCTCCTTTCCCCCTATCTGCCTGCTCTCTGTTCTGTCTTGGTCTCTCTCTCTCTCTCTCTCCTTCTCTTGCCTGTAAAGCATCTTCAGCCTATGTTTCTTTCATCTTCTCTTTGCGGCTGTCTCCTTTCCCCCTATCTGCCTGCTCTCTGTTCTGTCTTGGTCTCTCTCTCTCTCTCTCTCCTTTTCTCTTGCCTTTGTCTTGGTGTCTGTACATCTCACGGTTCCCACCCCCTGGCTGTCTGGCCCTCATTACCGCCGTGGTCACAGACACGCCTGTAACCCATCTCTGGGTATCTCGGGGAGACCGTGTTTCACTGTTTCCATCTTCTGCTCTGTCCCTTCCTGGCTGCTGAGAGCATTTTCTTCTCCCAGCTTCTGTCTCAGCCTCTTCTCATTTTATTTCTGTCTCTTCTTTTTTTAAATTTCACCCTCCAAATATTTATTGAGCAACTGTTCCAGGCCAGGCACCACTTGAGGCACTGGCAGTATCACAGTGACCGAGGCAGAGCACGTGCCAGCTCTCAGGGAGCGTTTGTCCTAGTGGGGACGAGCGCCACACACGCAAACACGTGACGCTGGCTGCCTGGCTCGTCCCACTGGGCAGAGGAGTGTGTTGGCCAGGCCCAGCCATAGGCAGGGACTCAAGCCCATGAGTGTGAGCTGGCTCTGCCGTGAGCTTTGCCTGACAAGTCCGTGTCCCTAAATGGGGACCGTGGGCCACTCTAGAAGCCAGACTCAGTAACATTCAGTATGCACCAGGCTGGGGGAGACACAGCCCAGGTAGGGCCATATCTACTGAAAGACAGCGGTGCTTTGGGTGCCCAGAGGAGTTGAGGAGCCACATTACCTCTGTTCCTCTCTCTACCTCTGACAGTGTTTGGCCAGCATAGGGTTAAAAGCTATTTGAACAGCGTGATATTTTTTAAAAAGATTTTTGCTCAGCCGGTGTGGCTCAGTGGTTGAGTGTCAACCTGTGAACCAGGAGGTCATGGTTCTATTCTGGTCAGGGCTCATGCCCGGGTTGTGGGCTTGATCCCCAGTGGGGGGCGTGCAGGAGGCAGCCGATCCACGATTCTCATCATTGATGTTCCTATCTCTCTCTCCCTCTCCTGTCCTCTCTCTGAAACCAATAAAAACGTATTAAAGATATTTTTTAAGCCAACATTTGAAAATGGGGATATTTTATATAAAATTCCGAATTTCCAGCTTCTTTAAAAAAAAAAAAAAAACAACCCAGGAGATCTGGCAACACTGGGCTCATTCCCACATAGCCATACCTGGTTGAAGCTGTGTCAAGGCTGCCCCCTGAGAGGGGGTGCGATCCCTGCCCCCACAGTCCCACCGATTCCTTGTGTGTCCCTGGCACAGAGGTCAAGGTCTAGCTGCCCCTGTAGCAGCACAGAACTCATGCTGGCTCTACTTATACCAGAGGAATACTTCTTTGTGCTGCCTCCATCACACACGGGGAAATGAAAGGAAACAACAAAGGAAGTGGCAGAGCCCCGGCTTTTGAGTTTACAGTCCTGACAAGTAGGACATCCATCCAGCATCTCTCTGCCCTGCCCACCGTGCAGGGGGCCACTGCTCATCCCTTCCCCAGCTGGCCCCTCCTCTGGGCCTTAAGCCCCTTCTACCCGAGCGGGTCAGGGGCCAGGCCTCTGACAATCAGGCTACCCCTACCCTCCCTGGTGGTGGGGCTCTCCCTGGGGCTTCTCTGGGGGGGGTCCCCAGTTGCTTTCTCCCTCCTGCTACCACCGACCAGGGTCCTGGCGGGAGGTGGCCAGCTTGGAGGGAATTCTGTAGGAGCAGCAGCCATGTCCACGACCCCTGCCTTAGGACAAGAGAAAGGGGGCAAGGATGCGCCCCCTTCCCTAGGACCAGAATTCACCAGCAGCCCCGTCTTCCCACCCAAGAAGCCCCCTACTTATTCCTCCCCCACCTCTTCAAACGGCAGTGCAGAGGCCAAACCAGCAAAGCTGGGTCTTGGTGGATGCAGCACAAGGGAGAGGTGGGGGCCACCGAGTACATTTCGGGTAAGTTACAAGGAATCTCAGCAAGAGACGGGGTTAAGGGAATGTGTGGCTTTGAGAGAAAGAGACCCAGGAGCTGAGAGGAAGCAGTTCTTGTTCTCATCATACATTTATTGGGTGCTTACTGTGTGCCAGGAAGTAAGCCAGGTGCTAGAAACAGCAAAGGGGCTAGAAACAGCTACCAGGTCATCAGTAACACTGTACGGACCCTGGTTAACACAGGGAACAGAGGAACCCTTCGGCACAGCCTCAGGGCCTGGCTGGGTCCTTGGATGGGGCCTGCCTGGGTCTTCCCAGCAACAGAAAGGGAGGCAAGACCCTATCCCTCTTCCCCATCCAGGTAGAGAGGCACACAGACAAGCCCCTACACACTCCTCTAAACACATTCATACCTAATATGTGAGCATACACACACACGCGCACACGCACATGCACGCACACACACGCACACGCGCACACAGGCACACACATGCACACACAGGGCACACACACACGCGCACACATACACACACACACGCGCGCGCGCGCGCACACACACACACACACACAGGGCACACACACACACACGCGCACACATGCGCACGCACACACACACACAGGCGCGCGCACACACGCACACACACACGCACACGCGCACACAGGCACACACACGCACGCACGCACACACACACGCACACAGGCACAGCCAGGCAGTTTTACAAGGAGGTGGCATGGAGATGCTATCTACATGCCGTGATCTGAGCGCCCCAACATAAATCCGTCAGAGTGCCTGCATATTTACCATTGAGAGATTACCTTGAGAAGCTTTTTGGCCAAGTCTCTTACCAAAAATGTGAAAAACACAAAAGTGAACAAGGAGATTTCTTAAGGCTTTTTGCTTAGAGAGGGCTTCTGAGAGGGGCAGGGGCAGCGGAAACAGACCCCACTTCCTGTCTTGGCTACAAGTCTGTCCTGGCCAGAGCTGCCCAAAGTAGGTGTCCTATTAAACTGGTGGGGGTAGAGGAGTGGGGGTGCCCTCATTTCCTGTGCTATCTGCACTCTTCCAGGGTCATACAAATACTGCTGCCCCTCGTTAGGTGCCTATGACGTGCTAGGTATACTACTGTGCAAACGCTTTATGTCCGTGTTCACCGAGCCTCGGAGTGAGGGTATTATCTCCACTTTAAAGAGAAGGAAACGGAAGCTCAAGACTAGCCTAGGGTCACGGATGTCGTGTGGTGGGGCACGGGGAGATGGAGTCTCACGCTGGGAAGGGAGGGGGCGGGAGCTGCCAAGGGTCCCAGTGACTGACTTCAGAGCCCGGGACATGCTGCCTGGAGACCGAGGAACACAGGTGGCAGTTCCATGCTGGCGGGCCACCCCATGGGGACGCTGCTTCCCCTTCATGGCATTCGGGCAGCTCCATCCTCACTCCAGGGTTGGGGTGAGTTAGCACATAGGGGCAAACTCATAGCTCACAGAGCCTGTCTGCTCATCCTGCCCCCCAACCCCAGGGAGGTTATGAAAAACCAACCCCCTGACTTTGGGGGTCCTGGGCTCCTCCTCCTCATAATCCCACAATCTATTTTGGGGGGAAATGGGCTGTCACCCTTGAATTGAGCCCATGAGAACTTCTCATATTACCCTCCAGAGGGCGCTATTGCTGAAACAGCCCCCAAGCTCAATCCTGTTGAGACTTCTCAGAGCTCCCTGGCAGAGCCCCTCACCCTAGGGTGCCCGCAGCTGACCCCTCCTCTCATCACAGCCTGACCCCACCACCCATCATCCACTCCAGCTGCATATCTGCTCAAATTCTGCTCCCAAGCTGATATTCAAGTACGTTGAAAACTTCACTGAGCTGAATGCTTCTGCTGCTGTCTGAGGCAGTCCTGCACATGTACCCCGATTACTGGATGTCCCCCCATTTTCAGGTCCCTTGGGGTCCAGGGCCAGGATGAGGAGAGATGTTAGCGGAGGTTGTTTGGAGCAGGTTGATACTGGGTACAAGAAGGGAAAGGAGATGGAGCAAAACAGAACGGCACCTGCAACCCTGGCCTTCAGGAGGGTTGGGACCTTCCCCAGCACAGATCCAGGCAGCAGGAGCTGCAGACAGAGGCCAGGAGGTCTGGGGGAGGCCAACAAAGGAACAGCTCGACCTGAGTCTAAGGGGACTAGAGAGGAGAGGGGTTCCTGACAATACTTCTGACACTGGCCCTGCCCCTTCCTCACTCTGATTGAAGCCACTGGCCTGGCATCACTTCCTGCTCCTCCCCACCAGGAGCTTGAGGACAAAGGGAAGATGGAGGGCCATGGCCACTTGGTGCTCCCTGCCTTTGATCAGCCCGTGGTCCTTTTCTCAGTCCAGGGCACTCCTCTCAAGGAGAAGAGACCTTCACTTCAGGCTTGGGGTGACCAGAGAATTGCTCCCTCAAGAACCCATCTGCCTCCAGGGCCAAGATGACTCTGCTGAGTAGAAGTCATCCCACACTCAGAGGACTCTCTCGACTCTAATAAGTGGGGCCTGGGTTTGCTTCCCTTGCTCCAACTGCTGCCTTTCAGCTCCCAAAGCCTGGTGGCCCTGGGGCTATGCTCCAAGAGGAATGCCCTGGCCTAGCGGGCTTTCTTTGGTCACTCCAATGATGTTAAGGCCCATAAGCAAGTCCTGGCTCTAATCTTGTACAAATCACTCCACCTCCCTGGGCCTCAGTTTTTTAAAACTGTAAAACAGAAATAAGATCCATTTAACTCTTGCATGATTCAGTGATGATAACCCATCACTTCTGTACAGTCAGAGTAGAATGACTGGCAGGTGCGCGTGCAGGTGGTGGCCGACCCATCTGGTACCCTGCTCCCATTTCATACCTCCAATCCCTATGCACTGCTGGCCCTACACTGATTTGCACCCTGAACTCTTTTGTCAATGCCTCCTTCTTCCCGCAAAGTGCCCACACCCTGCGGGTGAGTGGGAGAGAGGCAGCAGCCCCTACTTTGGATGCTCCGGGGACAGCACAGGTCTTGTCTGTAGCCTCATGTTTTCCCAGCTGGAGGGGCCCTTGCTAATCCACATTTCCCCAAACTGTACTCCTCTGTCAGTGGATCTCAAACTTTGGGGAGGCACCAGAATCACCAGGTGGGGCTTAGCAAAATCTAGGCTCCAGAGTCCCTCTACGTCAAAGGCAAGACCTGGAGTTTTCACATGTTCAACGAACACCAAGGGGCTCCATTGGGCCACACATGGAGGACGGCTCTCGGACTGTTAAAGCCACGCCTCCCCACGCAGCGTACCACCCTCCCTCCTGGAGGGCCACAGGGTCCATGAGCATGCCAAAGAGCGCTGCAAGTGCTTGCTGCAAAGAAACATGCCAGACTTGAACTCAGCATTCCCCAAATTTGACTACAAAACTTTTAAAAATTTAGCATAACCATTAAACCTCACATAACTAGTGTTCTGAGGAAAGTTTTGGGAAATGTTGATCTTGTTCTCTTTTTTAAAAACATGCTTAAAAAATTTATTTACTGATTTGAGAGAACGGGGTACAGGCCGGTGGGGGGATATCAATTTGTTGTTCCAGCCATCCATGCACTCATTGGTTGATTCTTGTATGTGCCCTGACCAGGGATTGAACCCCCAACCTTGGTGTATCAGGATGATGCTTCACCCAACTGAGCTACCCGGCCAGGGTTTAAAATATGTTTTAAACAAATGTTTTGTAATTGAATTTATTGGGGTGACATTGGTTCATAAAACTATGTAGGTTTCAGGTGTACAATTCTGTAATACATCATCTGTGTGTTCACTACTCCAAGTTATAAACAAACATTTTTGGTTTTGTTAATATTTGAGTGGACTGAAGCCTAGGAAGGCGTGTTCAAGATGCTTAACTGTTGACACAGACCTCGAATTTGGGCCTGGATCTGCCCCTTCCTGTTCTCTGTCCATTCCCCCCACCATGTTCTGCCTCTGTCTCTTTGCGTCTGAGGCTCTCCTGGGATTGAACTCAGGAGGAACCCTCAGGATAGTTGACCGGTGACAGGAGAGCTGAGCAGGGGACCAAAGGGGCCAGGATTAGCCTGTTTGGCTGGGAGAAGCAGCAGAGGAGGGGGTCGTCCCCTTCGAAGATGTCCGCACAAGTCCAGGTGGGGGTGGAGGGGGTCTTTTCCCAGCCCTTCCCCTCCCAAGCTGGCAATCATCCGGAGAGACTGTGAGCAACTGGGTACGACTGGGGCTGGTCAGTGGCAACAAAGCTTGTCTTGCCTCCTCCAGCTCAAAACAGGCATGTGTAGCCCTTAACTGATGTGCTAGCAGGGACAACCCTAACAGGAGGAAAACTGATTTATTGCTTTATAAAAAGGAGTCTGATAAAACAACAAACAAAAACTAGAAACCTAAAAATCCACCCACCCCTCTCTGTGCTCCCAGGAAGTCCCAGACACATTTCTGGGGCAAGTCCTGGTGGGTGGATTGGTAAATCAGGCCCGCCTGGCAGAGGAAGGGAGGCCCCCCCTGTAAACAGCTCAGGGCCCTGGAGGAGTCTGCCAGCAGGGGGCGCGGTGGCTCCACAGCCGCCCACAAACTCCCAGATGAGCCAGGCTGGCTCCTGGGCGGCTCTGGGAGAATAACAGCAGATACCCAGAGCCCACACCCTACCACCATCCCACACACCTCTCTCACACACAGCACATGTACACACCTACACATACACAAACACCCAGGCCCCTCACTATCTACCTCCCCACCAGGCCTGGCCCTCCGGTCTCTCAACCACAGCCTCACTTCCACCCCCACAACAATAGCTGTGTTGGTGCCCCTTTAATTCCCTTCAGGCCACGGACTGGATGACAGCGGCAGCACAAACTTGCTCTCCACTTAGATCCCGAGGTCCTTTGTCCCTGGCTCCTGAGCCCAGTGTGGCCCCCCATCCCTCCCCAGGCTGTCAGCCAGGGGGGCTTCTCCACAGGCCTCAAACGGAGGACAGGCCATGGCCTGGCCACAGGGGGCTGGCATCACAAAGGAGTTAGCACCAACAACAGGAAGCGGGTCCTTCCTTCCTCAGGCAGCCTCAGACGGACCAGGGGTGGAGATGAGGGGCCAGGCAAGGGGGTGCAGACAGCGCAGGCCTTTGTCCTCAGGCAGGCGTGGTGGGTGGGCATGCAGCCGAGAGGCAGGTGGTAGGCAGTGAATGGCAGGTCCCTCTGCTTTGGCAAGAGGCAGAATCCAGATACTGGAGGGAGAGAGCCTGACTGTCAGGGGTCCTCCTGGCTCCTCCTGCAGGTACCAGGGAGCCTCAAGGCTCCAGGGCCCCTCAAAGGTGGCAGAGCCAAGCCCAGGGCAGCCCTCTTCCAGCAGCAGGAAAACCCCCCGCTCGGGCCCTCCCCTGTCCTTCCACAGCAGAGCTCCAAGGCAGGACCAGGGCCCCGGGAGGGCGCACGGACTCCAGCGCGGTGGAGGAGAGGCTCCTGGGGGTACGTGGCGGTCCTCTGGGGTGGGGAGGAGGACACTGGTGAGTCACTGAAGCAAGGGCAGGAGGCCACAGTTCTGAGGTGGTGGGCACTACACGAAAGCCTCCTGGTTGGAGGAGCCGTTGAGCTTGAGGAAAAGCTTGTCATCTTCCCTCTTCTGCTGCAGCTGCCTCTCCAGCTGGCGCCGGTAGCAGATGAGGTAGAGGGGGAGGCAGAACCCCAGCAGGCTCATGACCAGCAGCCCCACGTTCACCTGGGGCGGCAGGGATGAAAGTTGCCGTCACGTGGGGCAGGGGACCAGGTGGGGGCTGTGGTCTTTTGCAGAATCCAATTCGGGAACCCTTCCTCACACTCAGGTTTGGGAAAGGGGAGAAAGTCACAGGACAGGAGAGGAAAAACAAACTGGAATGTTCAAGAGGCTGGAGGGCCACATTCCAGCACCAGAATTCCCTCCGGGCCTGCCCTCTGCCTCCCCCCACCCCCAGCCCTGACTTCAGACCTACTCATCTGAATCTCCAGGGGGTGGGGCAGGGACAGCAACTAGACTCTCTTTATCTCAAAATCGGGTCCAGAAAGGGCACTTTTCTCGTCCTGCCCAGCCGCCAGTCACAAGGGGACTCTGATTCGATCTTAATCAAAGTTCCCAAACTTCTTGTCTTTGGAGCTCTGGAAGCCCCAGAGCAATGCCTCTCAGCTCCCACCCAGCAGAGGGGGGCAGATGCCTGTAACCCACTGCCCCCTGGCCCTTCTTACCCACAGAGGGTCTCCTTGGAGGGGACCCATCATGGCCAGAAACAGGGGCTGCTGCAGGAGAGCGAAGAGTGCACTGACCAGAGACTGCAGTCCTGTGAGGCTGCCGAACTGGGTGGAGGGGTACCTGCAGGGCAATAGACAACCTGTCACCGGAAGGTCCACTCCCAGGCTTTCCAAATGCTCCTGGCCTCAGCCTGGCCCAGGTGCGCTGGTGCCAGACAAGAGGCAGGAACAGCCTCCGAGAACAGCGGGCACCTGCCTGCAGATTCCTTTCTGCTGAGCAGTTGTGCAAAGTGAAATTCTCTTTTGCACCAACCTAAGGCCCCAGACTCTAGGGAGGACCCCACCCTGCCCAGGTGTGCCCTGGGCCTGTGGGTGCCTGGCTGAGCTGAGTGGAAAGTGTGGTGCCAGTGGGAGCTTGGGAAACAGGCCCAGGGAGCAGGATGGAGGCTGGGCTGGCTCTGCTGTGCCCTCATCCAGAGGAGCATTGTGTAATCACGGAAACGCGGCATCAGAGCTCTCAGCGACTGCCTCCGACCCTGCCAGGGCAGCCGCAACTTCCTCCAGGCCTGGGTGGGTGGGGGACAGGCAGACCTGGTATGACCCCCGTGCAATGCTGTTGGGAGGGGGAGAGAGTTCTAGCAAGATCTTAGAAAACATCAGGCTTTGGGGCCCCAGCGGTGAGAAGGGGCTCCAAGTGGGGAACAATCTGATCTTCGGTCAGAGAGAGACAGTGGATGGTGTGTAGGTTCCAATTTTTGAAACTAGCCCCGGCCCAAGGCGGAAGGACGCTGTGGCTCCTGATGCATGGGTGGCCTCTTGGGAGAAGAGGCAGGTTTCACTGTAGCCACACCCTGAAAGGCTGTGGGTAGAGGCAGGCCCTGTGAGATTCTGGGTGAGAACTGTCTGATATGTTCTGGGCTCAGTTATCCATGTCCCTGCTCCTGCTGAGGGTCATTTGAACGTCAACATTGAGCCTGGGGCAGTCGGAACCCACCCCTGGCCTTCCCATGAGCAACCAGGGCAGCCAAAACTCGGCGGAGCAGTGGCCCCCGAGGCACCGTGAGCTGCACAGAGGTACTGACTGGCTGAGAACTGACTTCCTGTTAAATGCCAAGGCTTGTGGGCATCCAACTGTCTGCCCACTGACCCACCTCCCGCCGGGTCTGGCCTTCCCCTGACACACCCAACGAAGCCCTGGTACCTGTCCCTGATGCAAGAAAATGAACCCTGAAAGGGCAGGCTGCCCCCCTCAGGACCTTAGTCCCACCACAAACCTCCCATAAGTCACTCCCTCACCCTTTGTCACCAGGCCACCCACAGGTCCCAGGACTTACACGGCGGCGTACAGGCCCCCAATGGAAGAGTGGATGAATCCACGCACAATTGTGTGCAGGATGAAGGAGAGGATCTGAGGGAGGGAGAACAGAGAGTGAGCAGAAGCCTGTGTGGGCCCTCACCTTGTGCCCCTGCCCCAGTTCCTGGGATCCTGAGCAACGGGGGCACTGTGACCTAGAGTCAGATCATACCAGCCCTGAGGGCCAATTCCTGAATTTCCAGGAATTCTTCAAGGCAGTTGTTAAACACAGTCATTATGGAAACTGACATTTTATAAACTTACAATTAAACAAATTATATTAAAACCAAAGGTAATGAATACTCAAAACGTATCACTTCCCAATTATTTTACTATGTGTTACTATGATCTATGTTCTAAAGGTTTTTGTATGGTGGAAGGAGATAGCACATGATGGTGGGTTACTGTGATTCTCTTTCCAACTCCACAACTGGTGCTATCATAATGATTGAAAAATCAGCCACAATGAGAGCAGTTACACCAAGGAAATTGGCAAATGCTGAAAGTCAGGGCTCCCCCCACCCCGCCACGGCCCCACCAAGGGTGTGTTGTGAAATATGTATCAGTAGCACTAAGCAGGAGGTCACGAGTCATGATTGGATCTCCTGCTACTGCTGACCAAGGACTGTGCCAAGGTCTCCCTGCCTGGTCACTCAGGCCCTAACATGCCCAGGAGAGCTCTGCTGTGTAAGAAGGCTGCTGCTGGCCGGCTTTGCGAGTTCTGAGAAGCCCCTGCTAATGATGTAGAGGTACAAGATCTGTCCACTTGGCCACCAGGACCCTTCGTTTGCTCTTCAGACAAAGCCCTGCCCTCCTCCTCAGCAGCCAGGACCTGTCTCTGGAATGTGGGCGGTGGAAGGGGCAGGGGCTACTCTCTGCTGAAGGAGGGCTGTGCCCGAATGTGCAGGCACATACTCGGGCGGGCTCCCCCTTTCCACTTCA